CCCCCCGCCCCCGGTGTAAAAAGTCATTTCTTCTATCTCCTTTTTACTTTACCTCATAACTCTGTCACCTATTTCAGAAAAGACAGCCAATGGATACCCAAATGAAGAAACCTCTCTGCCTGTCAAAATGCATCCAGAGTTTAGTCTTATGTTAATACTAAATGAATACATTTGCAAGCATAAAGCATGTATTTAGAGATGCTTTTTTAACATTAATCTCTTTCTTAATGTTTCCACTGAGACACAGCACAGTTCTTGCATCTGGACCTACATTTGAATGACTGTTGAGTAAGCTAGTGTAGAAAGCATGCAGAAGAAATTTTTTAAGTACCATGAACAGAGCCCTGTACTAAAATAATCATTTTCTCTTTTCCACCAGTTGAACCAAGGCATTTGGGACTAGGTGCTCCCTACCTCAGACCTCTGTAGTCTTGATTCATTCTAAGGCTGTATAAGTTTTAGGTTTGCTGGGCAAAGCATCCTTCTAAGTTAGTCTCTGCCTCCTTTCCAGTAGTTCGTTCTAATACGAGCTAGTGCATTTTTTGGGGGGAAAAGCATCCAGACTCTATTGCAAACTTAACAGTGGGAGAAAAGCCACGACATTCCTCACCAATTGTTCTCAGAGTTAATTATTTTTCCTATCTATTTTGGGAATACTCATTTACTGGACAGTCAAGAAGGACTACTGCTTTCCTCTCTTTTACTTACTACCATCCTTTACAATGTGCTTGCCCCCATACTGAGAGCTGTGCAGCTTTCTCATTCAGACTATGAAAACATCTCTCCTAAGCACAGTTACATTTTTTCCCTTAGCTTGTACACTGAGATGTATTGAAATATATATTATCTTATTATGTCACACATACAGACCATTGCAGTGTCTTGGGTGAGATCTCACACTCCACTGTAGTGTCAAACCTTAGTATAATGATCGTCTGTTTTCTTCTAGGTCATTGATAAATTAAGCTTGATTTAGGGCCAAGAACTGAGGTCACTGTGGGACCTCAATAGAAACATTCTGACTCAGTCATAATTCCTCATTTACAGATATATTTTGAGACCTTCTGATTTTGTATCCTGTGGGCTCTAAGACCATGCTGTCCTTTGGCAAAGGCTTCCTCATTTCTGAACCCCATTCAAATTCACCTTATTCCTCTCTTATCCTTCCTTTTGCGACTTATTTCCAAGACATCTCACAACCCTCTCTCTGCCCACTCTCTCTGCTCTTCCACACTGGTGTGTATCCCTGTCACACAAGGTCCCACAGCTGGCATCACCACCCCCCGGGTGCTTTCCCATCTGTCTGGTGCTCTCCCCTGCTGTCCAAGCCACTGACTCACTCGCCTGCACTCTTAAATCTGTCCACAAAAACCCTGTTTAGCCTGTAATGTATGTAAAGCATTTTCTGATACACTCTGTGAACTGGCTCTGTATAAACTGCCCTGTATTGTGATTTTGGGTGCTTTATATTCTACAATAACGGTGAGTTATTGAAAGAGTTGGCAGTTTTAACTCTAAATCTCCTTGAATTTGTCAGTTTAAGGCAGACACTTAACATCGTTTCACTGCAGGTTTTAAAAGTAATTTTCTTTTTCCTTTTTAATGGCAACATAACATGGACTAGGACAGCTCAGTTGACATTACAATTAGAGATAAGTGCAAAGAGAAATATTTAATTAATCTGACTACTACAGATGGGCTAAATGTAATTAAGTTTCCTTCACAATCAATTTTATATAAGAAAAGAAAATTATATCTACATATTAAAACCACTTCTCGTTATATATGAAGTTCATAGGACCTGCTTTGGCATAAGCATAAATTAGAAAAATTCCCCTAAAGTCATTGGAGTTAAACCAGTGCTACATCAGTACAAAATCAGAAGCTGATTCCTAGTCTTTCAGGGTTTGTATACATATACAACAGTAAAAGCAGAAATTAGGAAGGAGACGTGGCATTACCTGTTAAATCCTGTTTGCTGGGAGGTTGTGCCTTAGACTATGAGAATATTATGGTGGCATAACGAGTTACCATCCATCAAGCTACGTAACTGGATTAGGTTCACAAAGAGGGAAGCTATTAACGTTTTTGCCTGCAGTTGTGGTGGGTTAAGAGCATGCACTTGGTTGAGTTACAGAAACTCAGCTGACAGGTAGTAACTTCCTAAGCCATTAGGATGTGATCACATTCAGTCAGTGCTCTAGACCTAATTTAGTGCCGTTGTGTATCCCAAATCACCGTATTCTCACCTAGCAAACTCGTATTCATTCAGGTTGTGTTTAAATCAAACACACATCTCAGTCCTTAGGAGGTGTTTTGTGCTTCAAGTTCATTAGGAGGAAGTCACAACCGAAGAGCAAAGCTGTAGTAAAGTTGAACAATTATTATTTCAAACAAACTCTAGTATCAGGAGTTAGGCGGAGTGATAACTTTGTGTACTTTCTGTTGATTTATTATACAGTACATTCAGAGACTGAAAAACTGAGATATTGACTATATAAAAATACATTCAAACACATAGTAGAAAAACACTGTTAGAAAATCATTTTATTAGTTCCAACTGTAGGGATTGAATAATGTCATTTATTTGGCCTGAGGAAGTGTTAGTGTTATTGTTTGGTCTGTAGTAACAGCACAAAAGCTTTGGGAGGGAGGAAGTCTTGAATTCCTTTTTTAAGGACTGGAATATTCATATGAAGGTAAGCCACAAGCATATTCACAGGCATCCTGGTTCTGCAGATGCTGGAGCACCAAGTTCCCCATCAGAGCGGTTATCCATGGTGGTAGGGTTAAACATGTGCAGAAATATTTTCCTGAGCAGGGAGAGTGCAATTTCTTTTAGAGCCTCATTAATGTACACTGTACTTGTACCCTGATTGTACTATAACTGCCTTTCCCATTCCATCTCATAACTTTCTGTTAGCTTTATCCTACCTGCAGACTTAAGGGCATGTTTACCTGTTCAAATATCACTACAAATATCATTGAAAAGGTCTTAGCATTATAACAGATGCACGACAGCATGGTTTGCACTTGCTCTTGCGGAGTGCACCTGCAGTCTGTTAGCAATGGGATGTCCATTAAATAATGCCAAGAAGTCCTTTGCAGTGGGGCCTTTCCCTCACCATGGCTTCCTTCAGCATCACGTTATTCCCCATTTCTTGTTCTCCTCCTTTCATTGTCATGACTGGCACGATTTCATCTTAAGTTTGCAAGTTGATCAGTCAGCTCATCTGAGCAGGTTGTTTTCTCTTGTCCTGCCCTTACTTCAGACTCATTTGGAAGCTTCAGTAGCTCCAGGAGATTGCTTGAAAGCTCTGCTGAGTTCGAGGCAGGCGAGCGCCTGCATCCCAGGTATGAGGAGGCCGAGCACGCTGCCACAGTGCTGGGACACGCAGGGTGCTCAGCACCGGTTCACAGGTCACCCCCCACCCTGCCAAACCACGGTTTGCCTGCTCTTCTGACATACCTTTGCATTGCTGCTGCGCATGCAGGTCTTTGTCTAAAGCTGAAAGTTGCAGCCTGTCACTGTCATTAATTTCTTTGATACAGATCTCTCTTTGAAATTTGCCTGGATCTCTTTTCATCATTTTCTTTTTCTTTCGTGAATCAATCTTGACTGTTTGTTTTTAAGGAAAATACTATTTACTACAAGCTTTGAATTCTCTTCCAAATATCCCTTCAGTCACTTCAGACAGTTATTGTAGCTTTCTCCAAGCTTTTCCAAGTGCAAGAAAATATATGACTCAGCATAGCCTTGGGTTGATAACCAGTGCTGCTAAAATATTGATGTATTTCTGACCCATCCATTGGCATTTTAATAACCTATCCATCACAGAGATATTGAGTCCATATATAAGTAATATGCTATTATTACACAATATAAATAATACTGATGGGAATGGTTTTCATTGTTGCTGAGCAGGGAGGGCTCCCCAGGGATACTTACAGTTTCTGAAAATCATACCCTGATGTATTTGCATTCTCCTGTGCGTGGAAGGCCAAACATCACCGGTACTGAGTGGATAAAACACTCTGCAGCCTTTTCACAGGCACACTGGTGGGTTTTCAATGTCCTTGTACAAATGCTGATGTTCCCAGTTAACAGCCCCACTGTCTGCTGCATGCTACGTATTACAGCTAAAATTTGAGAAGCAGTTTGGATTAATGCATACAAATAAGCATTACACAGTCATGAGGGTTATTGCTGCTTAGTCTCTTCTGAATTTACTCTTTGATTCAGTTTGCTTAGATTCCTGGCAACCCTAATTGGACTTAACTGAGCCTGTGGTGAAACAAGTCAGCACAGGCACTGTTTAATGCTTAGTTGAAATCTGTAAAAGAAAGCAAGCAAAAGTAAGTTGGAGACTCCTGTGGATTTTTTTTTTTTCACAAACAACAATAGTATTGAACAATTGATCATGTGAGCGTACTGAAAAACTCAAATCCTTCAAGTATTGGGTCATGGTGTTGAGTTTTTTAGGTTGTACTGCATAAGGAGTTCAGAAGAGAAAAATTGCTTACTGCAAGGAGAAACTTAAAGCCCGTTTTTTACTTTCTGTGAAAATGTTCTGGACATGGTTCTTCGAGCTCCATCGCTGGCTTGTGCTCACTGGGATCAGTACAGAGGGAGTGGGAGAGCACTTACACCTCTGGGTTGCTCTGCAGCAGTGAAAATGAAGGTCATTGATGTTACACTA